TTTAATTTTGTAATTCCACGAATTTTGCTTTGGTCTAACCACAGTTTTCAAGTGTAACTATCGACTACGACTTATAGAATTGTAATTTTTACGCCCATCACATATATCCAGAGACTTAAAAAATGGCTTTTTCTCAGATTTTTATTTAACTTAGCTTACTTTTGTAGTGTTGGAATTTTCCGAAAGTCCAGCTTTTGATTAAATGTAGAGGGAAGCATCCAATCACATGACTCCAATTTTCTATCATACCTCTGAAAACGATTTTTGCGCTGGGATTTGCGAGAAAAATGTTACATCCACGATCATCACAATTTCTAGGAGACATAGGGCAGAGTTTTTTTTTTGCAAAAGAGAGAAGATCAAGCTATTTTGATCTTTTTTATCCTCAGCTGCAATCTGAAATGCATAGAAATTTTCGAAATCTCATTTCCGTGATTTTCAAACATAAAACGTGTCTAGACAGATTGGAATGTTTTTTTGTTATTATCAGAGATGGCGTTATAAAACCGTCTGTGTCTACAAATCAGAAATTTTTGCTGAGAAATTAGTGTGACGCTAACTTCAGCGGCTATCGTTATCATCTAATCTCTACTATTGGCCTTGCTGGTCCCAATCTTTGCTGCCTCCTCTCCCCTTTCTTCTCGCTCCTTTTTTCTTGTAAATTAATACTTCGTAAAAGTGTCTGCTCTTCGCAATCTAGAAACTACGACTAGGACGACTTTTTTGCGCTTTGACTTGTACTGCGGTGTGTAATTACACCACTTTGCAACGGTGTGTAATTACACCACTTTGCACGAACGTGCGATTTGTCTAGTTCAAGTTGTCGACTGTTTCTCTGATTTTACAGTGAATTCTATCACATTACCTACGCTCAGCACAGCCGCCTAAGTACGTAATTGCAGAAAAAGTGAGCTGCTGTGAGACACTAATAGCTTGGAAACGTCCTCAAAGTGTTATGTCTCAGAATGCTACTCAGACTATTTCTAGAATGTCAGTGTGGCCGCTTTTGGGATGATATATAATTTGGAAAATAGTGATCTCTGCTATAACTTAATTTTTTCATTTTCTTATGTTCCTACGACGTTTCATCACATAAGATCTTAGCTTATTCAATCTTTTTTGCAGGAAAAAATTTCACGACATCGCCTAGTTCTTGAATCGCTCTTAATAACTCAAAAACAATTCTTTCCAAGACATCTACGACTAGAATACACACTTAATTGCGTTTGTCAAAGTTTGTTCTAATAGAATGCTCGCAATACCCCCCCCCTCCCTCCACCCCATTACTAGAGCATGGATTTCGTTACCTACTGTGTTACTCCTTTTTATGATATCTGTATAACTCTTCTTTCAACCCGTGGTAATACTGCTTTAAGGCGTGGTTGCAAAAATTATGTACGGTGAAGGTCGATTTTAGTCTATTACACCTGAACTTACGGCCTACGATTGAGTGCATGTCATTCAACTTTCGGGCACTTTGGCTTCCTTTCCAGCTCACGCGAACTTTCAAGCGCATATCCGCTTACCTTTAGTCACGATTACTCTCATTTCTGTTGGTCACTTGCGGGTCAGCTGACCATTTCCTGCAAAACGCTGCAAAATTTTCGAATTTTAAGCGTGAGACTACTCTATAGCGATATTTGGCTTGCTCTTATTAGTCAGATATTTCAGCGATTTTCGAGGCATTGGTGTTTGTACTGAAAATTTTCTAATTACTTTATAAGTTAGCTCTTAACGAACCCGAATTGACCGTCGATTTAGAATCATTTGGTGACGATTGTTGAAGTGCATGTTTTGGTTTTCTATTTATTCTCTAACGAACTTACAAGGTCAACATAATTCATGCAATCTTATAAAAGGTTGCATTGAAATCTGCTTTTGGTGTAAATTTATGTGGGACGCGTTGGCTCTTGAACATGTTTCTTGAGTAGATGGAAGATGAATTTCAGTGAAAAACTTCATAAAGCTAAAATCTTGGCATTTTTAAGGGCTTCGAAATCTATATATTGGTCATCTTTGGCAATCGGAAATTATTTACTAATCTGTAACATGGTTTGAAATTTGTGCATTTCGGCATGTAGATTTCCACAATGCAAGTAAATTTTTCAAGAATTTTATTTCTTAGACTGAAGAAAATACTCAAGAATTAGGCTCTCATTCTGCTGCTGAAGGTTAATTGGATAAATCATATTGTTATGTAATACTTCATCCTATGCTTATACTTTTCACTTTCTAGAACACAAGTTCTCATCGACACCTGTTCCAATCACTCATCTTTCATACTTTTTGTCGTCCAACTGTCAGTCAAAGCTCTTTCAAGCATGTGAACTAATCGCATCTTCTCCGACGGGTATTCCCAGTCACGCTTGTCTCTTGAATGATTTGATATAAATTTCTTCGAAAACTTCTTATTTATTTTGCCTAAAAGTAGAGATCTGAAAACTTGCGCTTGGCTGAGCGCTGGTGCATTAGTATTTGACGATTCCATTCAGTATACTATAGTGCTCATGTACTTCCATACTTTTTGTTGGGAACCATTGACATGTTATAGGGTCCGATTTTGTAGTTATAGAAGCCAATTTGTAGCCATTTATATAGTGCCAGTGTTGCTGACACTTCCACAATTCACAACCCCAGTTTTGCACTTGGTAATGTATGCTACCATCAATAAGTGGGTTCGTATTCCTACGCATATAATTTGACAGTAGCGATTATTTCGAAGGTATATTTTTTTCATCTAATTTTGCTCGAAAATGTCATCGTTTTAAAATGGAAACATTTTTCTTCATTCTTCTCTTCTCTCTTCCCATTCCGTTTATATATTTTTATCAGTCATTACGGTAGTAACTTTGTAGCTACTTTCACTAATGTCATTGACCTCATTTGCAGATTTTTTCCCAAAAAAATTCTCCTTTTGGAAGTGGACTAGCTTTTATTTTCCTTGCATTCTGCAAGAGATCCTTGCAAGAAGATGACCGTTACGTATATGGTGTTAAAAAGCTCTTCCGTAATTTTCATATCTTTTGAAACAAGCAAATTAATATTTATCTAAAGCAGTTTAAGATATCGTAGAATCGGCGTAATTGTGAAAGCGAAGAGTCTCTTTCAAAAGCATTACTGCTAAAATAATTTTCTTGTTTGATCTGTTGGCTATGTCGATGAATTTTTACTTTCTTATACGAGATTTTTCAATTGTTTTATTCATGTTTAGCCATTGTGACAAACATATCGGGTACTCTTCTTTCTGACTGTCCTGTTTTATTTAAAGAATTGAATCTTAGGCTTCCTTTCTGCTCTGAGACTTCAAAGCGCACTCGATCATCATTGTCATACCATTTACCGACGACTAGTCATCATCCTTTTTTTCAAAGTTTTCGCTTTTACAGGGCTGATAAATCAAATTATAGCTTTTTATGAAGGGCGTGGCTCACAGCGTCAAAGCAAAAAGTCACTTACTTTGATGCTGTCGTCAAATCAAATGATGCGCTATACAACAGTTTGTTCCAGTATAATAACTAGTCCGCTGTGCAATTTGCCTCATTCAACTTATAGATCGTCCTCTGTACGCAGTGAAAAATGATTAAGAGTTTGAGCTTCTGCTCTTGTGCGGAACAGATAATGTGCTTTAACAGCTGTCTGCACTTACGTATCATCTCTCTTTTGTGACGTCATCACTATTCGCAATTTTTTCACTTTGCCATAGTGTCACTGCCAACAATGAGTTGACATGGTGAGTGATAGATTTCTATGAAATTTTGCGACCATGCGTTACAAGTTTCTGATGTAAATACGCAATTTTTCGTGTTGCTGGGCTAGAAACTTGTATGTATGCTCAGCATAACGTAGAAGATTTTGCGTTCTTTGTTTGCGTCCTTTTCAAAAATTTTACAGTTTGCTCATGCTACTCAATATATGGTCGCACAAAACAGTCCTTCCGAGGTTACGCAAATTTGCGTACACATGTAGTTGGTTACGCGCCTCGGCAGCACGTACCATACGCAGTTTGGCGGTAACTTCAGCTTTTTTGAGTTTATATCCTTTCGTTAAACATCTTCTGTCTCACAGTGGATCTGAGGATCTTATCGTAATTATAGTATTCCTTTCCCTTATTCGACGTAAATGACTAGTTTTTGCAGAATCACGCTCAGAGTCTGAGAACAGACTTGATCTCTTTAGTTTTCAATTTCTGGACTTCACCTCCTTTCTCTTCTTTTTGTAAGCTTTATCAACGTCAATCATATTCACATGATCTCATTCGGAACAATGAGTGTCGTTTTTTCTTTCCTCGCTGATGTCATTGTTCGTGTGTTCGTTATTCGATATAAAAAAAGTCCGCAATTACAGATGACAACCGCAAACCCACAACAAAGACAATTCGCGCTGTTCCGCAAGTTTAGCACTGAAGTTCGACCACCGCCATTGGTACGACGAGATGAGCGTATCCGATCGATGAATTGTTCTTTTGAAGAAATTGCAGAGTCAGAAGAAGAGGACAATCAGGTAAATAATGGTTTAAGGAATCAATGCAAAACTTCTGATTCTCTTCCGCAAAACCTTTTCATGCAATTTTGTGAAACGGGGTTTACAGACGTGCACATAGAACGATTACTCCGCCTCCCCCATACCGTTTCCCACAATTTCTGGACCAATGTGTTGCATCTTCAAAACAGAGTTTTTTCTGCTAAAATCTGGAACTCTAAAGTCACATTTCAACCAGTAATACCAAACAAGCGAAGTGCGGTCATGTACCGCTACGCGCACCCGACGCCTCTGAGTCGTTGTGAGTAGAAACATTCGAGCCGCTAGGCTACTGTTGTCTCATCGGCTCTAGGCTTGAGCTGTACTCGTTCTACTCAGGATTGTAGTAGCAGCAGAAATTGTAGGAGAATATACTTATCAAAACAAATTTCTTGAATATTTTTCGGATTTAAATGCCAGAAGTTTATTACAATGGATATACTAGATTCCAAGATTGGCGAAATTATGGAATAGTAGTCCATTTTGAACCAAACTGTCAAATTGACTAAACATTTTATTCTTTTGGACTTGCTTTCTATCGTCTATCGTCTTTTGAACATGTTATCGTCATCCTTTGTATTGCGAAAAGTTCATTTTGTTTTCGCTTAACAACCTTGAACACATAACGACAATTCACTTTTTGTAAACATGTACCAATTGTTGTAGTTTCTTTTTCACTATAAAAGCATGCGAAGACACACCCATTAAACAATGTTAACAAAAGGGCAATTATGTGCTTTGCAGTTTTCAAATGCTTCAGAACTTGAGCTCGGTTTTTAGATATTTGGTTGGAACCGGGAGTTGAGAAGATCTATGGGCGCCTGGGGTTTTCATAGCGCAAGCTTATTGAGAAATGACTTACTCAACATGCCATGCGCAAGCAGAACATAGGTGGGAAACGAATGGGGGGGGGGGGAAAGGGGAAGGGGCGAAGGAAGGAGATGAAAAATAAAATTTGAGTGTTTTGGTCGTTAGCAAATATATATTCATCGAATTCTTTTTGCAATTACGCTAATATAATATGGTGATGTAACGCTTATGCTTACCTTTTCTCCAAGCTCTTCTCACTCTCCTCACTTTTTCATTCATCTCACATCGCTCTCAAAAATATTGAAATAGTGCACGAAATGATATTTCTGCAAAAATGCTAGCGTCAATCCCAATTCTTTACTTTTTTCAGCTCCCAGAGCGAACTTCACCGGAAGGACGATCGCCATTTGCTGTCGCTGATTCACCGTTTGCTGAACGACGCGGAAGCTCTCCGCGGAACTTGAGCCCAACTTATGCAAGGTACGCAAATGCACCACAACACGAATTATAGTGTTTTACAGTATCACAGAGTTCTTCTCTAGAAGACGCAATGCACCTCGACTGTGTCGTGGATTTTCGGATCCGGGACCTCGCCGTCGGCAAGCACCAACTATGCTTGGATCAGTGAGTCCGGATCGACATGAAGTTGGATCGGATCTGTTGAGTAAGCACTTTTCTCTATAAAGTTTTTGGATTATATAGTTTCAAATATGCACGTAAAAAACTGTTATGGCAATTTCTCGCAGCTTTCAGTGCAAAGTTTTGCAATCATATACGTAAGATGGTGTAAACCAGCGATAGCAATATTTTCAAGCAAACAGGAAAAGAGAATTTTTTTCGAGAGGAGATTTTGATCTCTAGTTTTTGATTAAGGTGTAGAGAGATCCTTGAATTGACATTCGAAAGTCATTTGTTTCCTGTCTATATAAATAGTTTTTTTTTGACGGGAAATACATTAGATCTTTAGATAATTAACAATGATTGACTAATCTTCTGCTGATCAAAACCGAATTTTTTCATTTGTTAACATTAGTAAGGATTTTATTGTAATTTTTATGCTGAATGTATTGTTTTCAATCAAGTCTTTTCCTATTTTAGCACTCAAACTCCTATTTTAGCCCTTCCACCCATTCCTGAAGCGGCCGCCTCATCAGGTGATTGCAAAGACGAATGCAATGAGGTCTAGCAATAACCACCCGAGTCACTCGTCACATGCTCAACTGTCAGTTGAGATGTCAGCTGACTTCTACGATCAGTTTTCTCCACGAGAACGCTACCCTACTACTTCTGTACATAATGAAAGGTCGAACGCCTTCTATTCATTGCACTTCACATAGAATTCTATCTCTCTTGATTACTAGTCTCTTTTGTCGTTTGAATCATACCGATGATACAAACTTCTTCACCTTTGTGATCTCTTTCTAGTCTCTCGTTGAAGAACAATATTTTGTTCCTTCTTTTTTTTGAGCTCTGATTTTTTGCGATCGAATTTTGTTCTGTATTTGATAGGTGTATGATTTTTGGCGATTTTGCTATGGATGCATTGTCGGGTTGCTAGAGCCTTGAATAATCTATGAGCGGGTTTATGATTCAAAGAACTTGAAGGTTGATGTACTTTGAATAAATTTTTAGGCTCCAATCCGTTTTAGTACAAGTTCAAGTAATCTTTACAACTTTTCTCACTATTCTATTTACAAAAGAACATATCCGAATAGGAAGGAAAACTTTTAAGTTGACTACTTTAAGCGCTGAGAAGATATTGTCAACTTTTGCTTCTTGCGAATGAATGACAAATCATTTTTACCTGGGCGAAGGAGAATGTAATATTTGTATATAATGTATTTGCAGACTTTGGTTGCCGGAGGTTATTGTACTGCCTTTACACATTATAACATCATCTCAGACAAGTCACCCGAAATTCTGCAGTACAAGCAAAATCTGCGCTGTTAAGCAGGATTTTGTTTACATCACAGAAGTAAAAACTATGAAAATTCTTACTAAAAAACTAGTAAAAAAGTTGAAAATGGGAACTCCTGAAGGACCTTCATGTTAGACTGCTTGAAAACGACAACTTCCGCAGAACTTTTTACAAAACGCTGCGGAACTTCCGAAAAATGCCAGCGGCTCCGCAGCACTTTGATCTGCCAGTATTTTCGCAGGATTTTTAAATGTGTTGTCTTTTACGAGTTGTCTCGCCAACAACTAGAGTGCATTAACGAATATGTTATCCGTAGTACAATGGATAGCGAGTGAGTCTCGCAGTCAAGAGAGTAAGGTTTAAACCTCCTTGGGGTCTTTCTGTTGTGGTTCGCATTCTTTGAACTTCCGCTGACCCGGCGGAACTTCTCCAAACGTTCTGCAGATGTTGCGGTCAGTTTCTGAGATGTTACTTAGGACGGTCCCAAGATAATTCTCGTGCGTAGAGTACTTCTACTTTATCCATGGCCATGATACCTTAACAGCAATAATCTTGATGGAAGACGGCCCGGATTAATGGTCATCCTGAACTATTTATTTCACTCGAGTTTCCACCTACGCTAACACTGCAAACGTCTCTTTATCACTTGGAACCGAGCGTCTGCTTTACAAATCTATGGCTAAATTGCTTGCACTTGGTTTCCGAATGGACGATCTTAAGAAATTGATTCAAGAAGCAGATAACTATGAAGAATAGTAATCACAGATTGCAAAATTATTACGTGCAACGTTAGGCAACGCAACGCTTCTTTGGCATACGTCATGGTAGGATATCCAAACCGCGGATTTTCCTCGAAAAAAAAAACTGTTTCTCGGAGCATTCACTGTTAACCACAGATGTGTAGATCATTTTGTTTGGCAGTGTGTTGAGGTTACACTAAATGCAGTAAAATACTCGAATGCAGCAATCATTAAATGTCATTCAATAAGCCTTACTTTCTACGCGGCCTGGGCTACTTTCGTACTAGCTTGGAAATCGCGACCTAGCCCAACAATGCAGTCAAAAACGTGTTATCTAAGTCCGGATATTCTGTTGATCTTTTTCGGCTGCAAAAAAATTGTGTTGGCGCACTTGTACGAGAGCGGTATCTAGTATACGAAACCTTCTAGCGTGCAAGAACACTCAAAGGAAATTCAAAAACCATTGCTGCTGTCAGAGAACTTGTTTCAAACACAGTTCTTACGTAAGCGCATGCTCAAGTATACATATTCTGCATCAAAGTAACATTTTAGAGTAAAAATTATTATCCGGCGAAAAAGGCCTTTCTTGAGCAAATTTGAAAGGAAGAAAAGCAAATTTGAAATTTAAAACCATGTTGGATAAAAAAAAACTCGTTCAAAAATGGTGCTTTACTTAAAATTAAGTCAAACAAAAGATCCATCTTAATTATAAGAAAATTGGCGAAGGGGTTAGTGCTCCCAAATTATCATATTTTTGGAATCTCTTGAATTAGTAAAGAATCCTGAAATTTTTCATGGAAAGAGAGCGTAGTTAACCAGCTCATTTGAATTTTATAGAACGCAATGGTGGAGTCTTTGCATAGTTTTAACAAAGTGATATGTACGAGAAATGAAGATTATCAAGGTTAAGTGACTCCAATATCCTTTTTTGAGTGTAAAACGTTGAGCAATTTTTAGTTCCCGCTTTCATACAAAATAGAAGCTGTACCAGTACAAAAGCGAGTCAATACATAAAAAGATCAAATTGGAACTTTTGAGGGCAAAATGTACCGGCTAATTTAAATTGCACCTTATTTTATCTTCCTTCATTTGTTTTTCAAATTCATATGGATAAAATACAGAAAGGATTAAAAACTCCAAGACAGTCTGTGTAGGGCAAAAATCATAACAAAGCTCATCCTGCTCTCTGTGGTTCTTCGGTCAATGATCTGCGCTTTTTTACTCCATTGTATTCTAAAAAATTCTTCAAAAGAAAATGCTTTAAATTTGGGATTTTGTGCTATTGTAGTAACAGACGTTCATGATTATCAAAATTTTCGCCACCAATTTGTCAGGGTATAAAGGAAGTTCCCGGGCACTTTGGGGAATTTCATTTTCAAACGCTTTTTTCGGCGTTTGGTTGGACTTACCAAGTTTTTTCATACTGTTCAGTAGAGAAAAGCCTAAAGTGTTCAGTACGGCTCCTGATTTTTAACGATGCCAAGACGTGTTTGATCTGCACATCAAGAAGAAAAATCCTTCCAACCATAAAAATTTCACAATTTTTCTTCCTACGGCCAATTTTTTGTGCAGTTCGAAGAATTTCGTCCAAATCACAGGTGATCTGATTGAGAATCCTGTCAACTTCTGATCCGCCGGTGTACTCGAGTTTTGCGATTTGTGCTCAGAAGTTACAAGTTGTCAAACTTGCCTCTGACTGCAACTCTTTTCGCAGCTGACGTCGCTTCTGGGATCGTCCGCCTGGATGATTGGTCCAAAAGATGTGTAAGGCATTACCCCAACAAAGTTTGCAGTAATCAAAGATTTGGTCTACCCTAGGCAGAACGACAAGACATCAAAGTCACTTGCTCAAAAAATGGTGCATTTTTAGGGGCAAAAAATGATCGATTTTTCAAACTTTCTGAAAAAAAAATTTTTTTGCAGGCGATCCTGCAAAACATGAATGGTCCCCATAACAGCCTCAGCAGACTTCTATATAACTACAGCATTTGAGCTCTCCAGCTTTCATCGTGCCTGAGATAATGGTGCACAAACGGGCCACTTTTCGCGACGACCTTTTTCCCTTCTGCGCGTGCTAGTGGACCGCAGTGGGGTGCTGAAAAGCCAGCAAGACAAGTATATGTTGTGGACAAAATTATGTTTGCAATGAAGTTTGTAGCTTCAAGAAACAATCAATCTGCTTGAAGTTACAGCGATTTGAAAAAATTTTCGCAAGTGCCCAGCAACTTTCCTTACAACCTAACATATTGGTAGGTCATTTTGATATATGGAGAAATCGCAGCCGCATGTTTATATGTAAAAAATACCTAGAATTTCTACACATTTCTTCTTTAATTATAGTAACAATATTATAACTACTTATTCATGCCGATGCGCCAATAACTGTCTATTTTACTTCACTTCTCATAGCTCTTGTATACTGTTGTGCGAATCGGCCGTCTCTCAATGCAAGGGAGTAGCGATTGCCGAAACTTCCAAGTTTAATTTACATCTTCTCCACGTTATTTTTTCACGGCTTTCTAGTTCTTTTGGAAAAGAACAAAGTTATATAGTTATAAGCCTTCCTACATCTGTAATTTTGTTATGGGGTTCCGATGACTGCTAAAACATTCCGTAGGTTTTTTTTTCGAATAGTTGTTGATTGTTACACCACTACATTGTGAGGATTTATTGGACATACAGATACAATCACTTCTTCGCTTATCTTTGGTCACACCCGCATAAATCTGTCAAGGCTGTAAAAAATCACCCGGAGGCATTCGAGAAGGAAATACACCAAAAATGGGAAAACAGGGATGGTAATATACGTAGTAAGCTAAATCGAGGAGAATTACAATTAGGGAACATCAAAGCGGACAGTCTTCTAACGAACAAGAGATTAGAAAGAGATCACGAAGGTAAAACTTATTAAAGTCATCAAGTTATCAATTCTCTCCAACCAGAACTGACTAAGTACAGGAGGGAATGGCGAATGAAAATGTTTATGGAAATGAATGTTAGTTTATTAGTAGAGAAGATAATGGAGGCTTTCTTGTAAAAAATCCGTACTCTTTGGGACATAGGTCAACGATATCTCAGCTGACATTCGAGTGCAAACAGCAGACTGTCGGATCAATTATTGATGCATCTCTTCGAAATCGTCCTTACAATCAGATGACAATGTGGTTCCTTCTGGGATTGGTGGAAGAGCTGTAATATACACATGAGCGAATCAAGCAAATATCACATATTCGTTCATTTCAATTTTTCCTCCAACGACAAGCGAAAGTCCATTCAAGCTTCAATACTTTACTGTTTTCTCGAGACTATGCGTATTTTCGTTGAATTTAGCACCTTTCCAATTTTTTGCAATCACCAAGTAGTTAGCACCTTCTCTGATGCTCCAAAAAATGCGAAGTCCATTTCTAAAAAGTTCTTGTTCCTCTCACTCTTTCAAAAGCAAATTGCGACAGGCATAGCTTGCCTAATGTACAGATTTTCATCGAAAGTGAATATAATGAAATGGAACTGACAACGTGGAACCAAATAATTGTCAACAATCATTTAGTTCCGCACTGCTGAACAAAAAATGTGCCAGATGACAAGTTATTATGCACGCAAATGATGAAAATAATTGCTTGTAAAAGCAGGAGATGCTAAGGGATGCTTACTCGCTTGACAATCTGAGGTGATTTTAACAAAAAAAAGCGGAAGCCTGAAGCAATTGTATAACGCAAAAAAAACACTTACCTACTTGTAGGAAGATAAGGAAAATGTTTGAGCATTTTTTCTGCATGCATCCAGATAGCTTTATTTCTCAAATCTTCAAAAAATTCAAAACACAAATTCAAAAACCTACTCAGCAAATCCGATCCACCATCATGTCGATCCGGGCTTAGCGACCCAGGCAAAGTTGGAGTTTCTCGACGACGTGTTTTTGGATCCGAACATCCATGACATATTCGAGGATGGGTGAGTTTCCTGAAGGAGATACTGTAATTGGGGTAACTGTCGTTCTTCGACTGTGCAATCGTACCTCGTGAGAGATGGGCTTAAGTTTTGAGGAGAAACTGGACGTCGTTCAGCGAAGGGAGACTCGAATGCAAGAGCAAATGGCGATCGCCCTTCGGGTGAAGTTCGCTCTGGGAGCTAAAAAAGACAATTTTAACACGTTGACGACAACGCGCATTTTTAATTGTCTGCCTTGTGGGACGATGCCTTCCACGAACGCGTCGAAAATTTCTAGCTAAAATCAAGCAGATCATCATTTTAGTTATACTACACAAATTCTTGAAAGCGGCTAAGAAACGTCAAGGTATTTTCTAGGGTTAGAGCGTAAAAGACCTCAGGAAACGGATGTACTCAGTAATTGTTATTATTTCAAAAAATTTTATGCCGTGACCCACCATGTGGGTCACATTGTCCCACGTGGCAGTCATTGCATGACCCACCATGTGGGTCACGTTGTCGTCAATATGTTAAACAATTCTAACTAAGTTATTTGGTAAACAGCATCAAAGTAAAAAAATTCTAACGGAAACTTTTTACGAGGTTGCCGCCTCAAACACCCACGAGTCCTGTGTAATTGTGTAACTGTGTAATTTGTCCATACGGTAAGAAGGGCGACTGTATGATTTCGAAAGTAGTGTATCTCATCACATGTCTATCATGTGGTGAGACGTATAGGGGAAACGGGCCGCCCCCTCTGCTCACGCATTAAGAAACACCTGGACGGGTTGCATGAGTTAAAACCATCAACACCCTTAGGCAGTCATCGCATTGTGCAGCACGAAAGCGCCGAAGTACAAGTTGGAGTCAAGATACTGACCTACGAGCCCGAACTGCTGGCGCGCAAAACTTTGGAGGCCTTCTGGATAAACACCAAGAGTCCAAAAATGAACCGGAAGGAAGAGTGCCCTGCGGAACTAAAGAACTTGCGCCATATCAATCCCTATGTAGGTTTTGATATGAGAGTCAGGTCACACGGTTTTAAAAAGAGGTAGAGGTACATATCTCACATTCGCTGGTCAATGCGCCTCCTGTTGTGTCATCTAAGGTGAGTTCTGGCAGCCGTTAATATACCTTGGTTTTCGTACTGGTCACAGATTGAATGATATCTTGAGTTTTGATGTTGGCGTCTGAGTGGATGTGTCACTTATACAGGGTGTCCCAAAAGTAAGTACACACTTTTCAATCGTCAATATCTCTTTTACCAATGCGTCTTCTTCTGTCATTCAAGTACCATTCTGTAGTGGAGGCTTCAACTTAGATTTACAGTATCGGTCGGATCACCGATCTCTTTTCGTTACTGTAGGATTACGCTAAGAACTTCTAGCATGTGGAAACATGGTGAAATATGTCACGTGACAAAATTTTTTGCAAAAAATCTGAAAAATCGTGTACTATGGTTTTCGCGCACGCCAATTCCACTACACAACTTTTTACGAGTGTTTTCAGCTTTTCTGACGGTGTAATCACATTTCTGACAAATCTTGGGAGTTCGGTCATTACGGTCTACCTGGGATAACTTTGGAAAGAAGCATCACAGTGAAGTGGAAAATTCATAATCGACATCAGCGGCATCCATTATCGTAGTATAAGAGTTTTTGACTTGTCTGGTTTTGTTTCGAAGCAGAATATGGCTTCCAGTTGCCTAAAATCCTTGTCAAAGTTTCTACAGTAATCCTACAATAATGAAGAGCGATCGGTGATTCGCTTGATTGTAAAAATTTAAGTTGAAGCCTCCTCCAAAGAATGGTCTCAAATGGCGGAAAAACACACAACGGAAAGAGAGATATTAACGATTGAAAAGTGTGTACTCACTTTTGGGACACCCTGTACATTCTTTCCAGGCTCTGACGAAGGCGAGAAAGCCAAAACGTTGGCCGGTTGAATAAAAAGTCATAACATCTTGGTTGCGGCTCAAAAAGACGACACAGCATTATATATTACAATGCCAAGATTATTAAACAGCCGAAGTTGGACCAACTCACGAGTCCAACAATTTTTTCGAGGATTCACCTTAGTTCCATTCCCCCGCCCTTCCTCAGCTATACCAAAAACCTTATAAGAAGGACCCATGAGCTATTAACTGGAAAAGTGTTTTTCCCTCATAAAGATATTTTGCACTTTTCAAGACAATATTTGCATTGATGAACTGTGTACCGCATCAAATTATTCCTTTTCAAATAAACTCCGAATTCGCAACGTTTTGATAAAGATGAAACCTGTATGCGTTCAACACATTCAGGGAAAAATGCAACATGTGCCCTTTTTGAAGTTTAAAAGGATGACGGTAATAGCAGAAGACAACATGTTTCAATACTTCTTTAGTTTGGTGCTGATCAGAATCTGAGCGTATCTTTGATGCTGTTGACAGCATCATAGTTCTGCATCAAATCAGATAACTCTTTTTAGGAAATGATGCGAGTTATAAAATGATACTCATGACGCAGCAATATTTGCTGTGCATCAACTGAAATTTGTGAAAAGTAATTTGCACGGATGTAGCCAGATAACCTAAAAACTCCGAGATTCGATTTCGAAACTCTGTTATGCTTTAGCTAAGATTCCACCCGGGTTTACCGCGATAATAATTCTACAAAAGAGATTTGTCATGCATTTAATCAACTCATACATAACTCTTTTTTTTGAAAGGAAACATTGCACCCTTTCGAATTACACTTTTGCAGAGAAAATGATTCCTTATTTCAAGAAAACCATGCAACCATAGGAAAGTGCTGCTACACATTTCTCCAATCGTAAGACAATTTTCTGAAGTAGTGGTTGGAGAAGTACATGAACAGAAAAGCGGAGGGGGGGGGGAGAGTAAAAACGAATTCTGGTTTGTATTACCTCAAAACAAATTTCCCTTCTCACCTGGATATCCTCCTCCTCTGATTCAGCAATTTCTTCGAAAGCACAATTCATGGATCGGATACGCTCCTCTCGTCGTACCATGCTCGGAGGTCGAACTTCAGTGCTAAACTTGCTGAACAGTAAAAACTGTCGTTGTTGTGGGTTTGCGGTAGTCATCTGTAATGGCGGACTTTTTTTATATAAAAATGATCGGGACTACATGTAATGCGATCTTTGCGCGAACAGTGGCATCAACAGCGACGCGAGATAAAAAAAAAGACGTCCATTGAATGAGATTGGAATGAACATATGTAAAAATGGTGCAAAAAATGTGAAAAGATGCTGGTAAGTAGGTATATCAAGCGCTAAAAGCGAAATAGATATAAGGCATACGAAATTGCGACAATGGCGCGACGCGTGCACTTCCCGAAACCGCATTTTCTTGGTCTTCATTGATCAGATACTAGTTCAAAGAGTAAATGATTTCACTCCTGTTCAAAATTTCGTTACACAAATTGGCTGAGAAGGGGTTTATGCCAGTATGATTTGCAGCATTTTTCGGAGAAAACGAACACTAACGCATGGACTTCGAGTTAAGAAGTGACGCAAACTTGCGTACTTCAACTTTAATGACTATAGCGCTTGACTGCACAACTTCACGGGCAATTCATCAGCGTGCGTGCAGCAGAGAGATGAGCGATGGCCTTGCAAAATGCGGAAGAAACATTGACTCAGTGATGACGTCAAAGATGGGAGATACGCAAGTGTATACTGCTGTGCAGCGGCGAGTTTTTATGGATAAAAAGTTCACAAGGTTGCTTTTTGTGGTTAGTATTATACAATCTCACACCTTACTGCACTGAACGATCGCTCAAGGAACAACTATGCACACTGACTCAGCAATTGGCCCAGACGATGAAAAACCGTTTTATCACATCAAATTTTATGACAGCATTGAAGTACGCGAGTTTTTAGACCGCAGAAAATATCGCTCATATAGACGCATTAGCGCCAAAAAGTCATCGTTAAGTTTGCAGGAAAGGGTACTTTATGATGAAAAGTTATTTATAGATTATCAAATTCGTTGTTGATGATAAGATTGTTGATGGTCGAAGAAGGAAAACACACCAAAGAGGAAATGAAAGAAATTCTAGAACTGTTCACAAATATGGAAAAATTCTGAGCAATGCAGAGAAAAACTCAAGATTTTGTAAATAGTTTACATTTAAAATACAGCAAAAACATGAAAAGCGAACATTTTCCACACACCAGGATTCGAATTTCGGCGATTCTTGTCTGAGTTTTTCAGGTTCGCAGATGAGCCTCAAAGATGCTGTGACAATTTTATCTGTTCTGAAAAGCTTTTCCGCATTAATTTCAAATGTGAAGCCATAAAGAGGTTGAAAGAATTAAATTATGAAAAAATGTCCATCCCAAGATTTTAGTGCACAAGCGAAAATGTACAGACATTCACTATTTATACAGTATCCTACGCAACTGGATAAGAAGGAAAGGTGAACTTATGGTTTACCTAGATAAGGCAAGATTGCAGTCATCTTGGAATCCCAAGTTTGTATAGCATCAGTAAAATATAATATCGGATCAGAAGAAAATAGTTGAACATTGTAAATCTTACTGCGAAGAAATTTGAAGTGAGTATAATTTGAATACCTACATGAAAATCATGACGAATTCTGCATGAACATGAGGTGAACAAAGAAATCACAGGTGTACATTTCCATCCGCTACTAGAGCTGATTAAATACTTCGCACTCATCAAGCAAGCATTATTAAAGGTTTATCAGAACACTGGCTGAGATGAGATCATAGGCACGATGATGTGGTTGACGTCAACATATCTCACGAATCTCCCAACAAGGCCGACTGATTGAGTTCAGTGACAGAAATCTCCCGCAAATAGTCATCATATGTGAGGCGATTTGTTTATCACATTCATATTTCCGCAGCAATTTGCAGAAATTGGTCAGCAGACCTGCACGTCATCAGCAGAACATACGTCATCGAACCTAATTAGGTAGAAAGAATCTTGGGAGCTTTGGCTTTAGGAAGCTGGAAGCTGCACAGAAAGTGAGTAAAGAATTGGAGCGGATCCGTGTGCATTCAGCCACGATGTAAAGTGGAGATATCATGCACTAACAGCATCTTGATCCTGTAGGGGACTCCACCCATTCCACCACGCCCTTTGTTTGTCACAGAAAAAAAAGGGCTGATTCAAACGCAAACAAAACAATGCTATGACGAAATCATGACAGAGTCATGAAACCTGATGATACCCACGTCATAGTGACAGAGTGAAAACCAAAAGTTATAATTTGTCAAATTCGTAAAGATATTACTTTGGTTTAACAAGTTCTAAAAGTCGCGAGATTATTTAAAGCAAGGATTAAATAAGTTTCCATCATCTTGATGCTACAGTTGGAATAAAGAGTAGGAAAAGCTTCTGAACGACAAAAAATTGCAAAGAAATCTCCCAACAAAATTCCATGATTATTTGACTTTCAATCTGATAATTGCAGGCTATTTCTTCCTTTTTTATCTTGCAAATTGAATGGCAATTGAATGATAGCCTAAGAAGTGCGTGGTGCACAAAAACAATTTGACGACACTTACAGCTATCAAATTGCGTCACAGCAATTCCGCCACGTGCACAATTTGATTTATAGATGCAACTTTTCAGCTAGCAACATTTACTGGAAGTCCTATAAGATTTTTCCGCATGTGTTTGAGATGAAAACTACTTGGATAAGACGCCTTATGGCCATATCAGTTAGTTTGGGACATTTTTCGTAGTCAGCGTTGTGATAGAACAGAGAAAAGAAGAATAGAATTAGCAAAAGGATGAAATCAGGATAAAAGCAGGAAGCGCTGCCTTGTTTGAACATAACAGCCAAACAAACAAAAAGACGGTTCAAGCATGATGAGCGTATTTACAAAAGAAAAACAGAAGTTTCCTTCTTGAAAGCGTGCTCGACCAAGGCTGAATAAAGGCATTTTTTTCATCGCAAACTGCATCGGGGGATTTATGAAAAGCAGCACAGCACGAACTAACTCAGCCGGTTTTGCTGGTTGTTGTGTCCTCGATAAATGCCTAGAAAGTAAATGAATCAAAACTTAATCAAACCCAAACAGTGAAAAAGAGGATGAGGTAGAAGAGAACAGGGAAGAAGGCGATAAACAGGCTCACGAAACCATCAGCGGCTCTCATTCGAAGAGTGCGCCCGACAAAGATTTATGAGTTAAGAAAGCTTAAATAAGCGTGTCTCAAACCCTCCCCCCTCCCCCTTTATCCGCCCCGTTACCAAAACAGTCCTTAAAGCAAGTTAGTAAAAAGAGCAAGAGCATCCACAAACAGCAGTACCCATGCACCGACAGCACAAGCATGACCTTCCGCCGAGAACTCCGCGTGGCCCGGCACGCATGTCTACTCGCCCCGAAGCCACGCCCCCGACTGAACTTCCAGCGGAGGGTTTTCCGAACGCGACCGAGAAAGACTGACGTTTAGGGTGAACGCCGGCGCAAGGACAACTTTTGAGTATCTATCCCCTTCCTGCAGTCATAATTCTTGAGCAGAAATGAAGATTCTTATTGTTAGGAGAGCTGGAATACACCGTTGATTAAAAAGTTTGTACTATCTCAAGTTTAACAAAACGGTATAGTCGTTCTATTTCAGTAGCTTTTCTCCGGTGGACGATTCTGAATTCGAACTGTAGCGAGTTGCAGTAGAGCGCGGTACCGTCAGCAGTTCGTTCAAGTTGCCTCAAGGGGTGCCGAGCTCTACCACAAACGGCCTGCTCCGATTCAAATCAAGAATGTCACCATTGAGATGAGAACGACTTACATGACTTCGTAAAAATGGCTTCTACAGAAACGATTATCTTTGTTAGGTCTGTGGCATGCACCAATCGCCCTCAAATACGACATAGACGCACTGTTGTCGGTTTTTTTTGCAGGGCCGATTGGAGGATCCTCATATGCTCAACAGTGGTTAAAGTGTGCAATGACAACAGATGGAGCTTGAGACAGAATGCTATTTGCTATTTACTATCACCTATTTCATCAATACTAGAAAACTGATTAAATAAAATTATTCGTCACTACTTCCGGTCAGATGACACTGTACCCCATCAACGTTTAAAGGCAGTATCCGGGCAAAAACTCGATTTTGAGATTCTGTGCTTACTTGGGCCTATTCGCTACGCTGAATCCGAAAAAGCACATTGTAGAGCGCGAAAATGGCGAAAAACGGTTCTAACGCAGGAGGGAAATGAGCAGGTGGGCGGGGTCCTCCCCACTGCGAATTCACGTTCCCGGCTTCCGGAGCGACCTTCTCGCTTCCGGTTTCAAGTCAATCATTCGCACTTGGCCGGTAACGATGTTAGAATAGCTAGCGGAATCGAGAAAATCGCTCCGGGAGCTGGGAGCGTGAAATCGCACTGGGGAAAGCCCCGCCCACCTGCTGATTTCCCTCCCATATTAGAGCGCTTTTTCGCCGTTTTCGCGCTTTCCAATGTGGATTTTCGGATTCAGCATGGCGAATAGGTCCGCATAAGCACAAAATCTCAAAATCGAGTTTTTGCCCGGACACTGCCTTTAAACGGTTTTTTTGAAGAATCAGGTTATGTAAGTACTCCTGGTGGTACAGAGCCGGTTACTCTAGTTCCATGTCTGAAAAGGATCGGCCGAAAGACAAAAAAGTGATCCTTTTAACAATTTCTAACAAACGATGGAAAGAATTGTTCTATGGATAGGAGAGCAAACATTTGCGTAGACAGTAGAAAAGAACAAAAGAAAGAAAAAGAAATGATGTCATTGTCACGATCGCACCGCATAAGCCAGGATAGCATTGAATACTTTGTTCATGGCCGACCTGCATTACGGGGAGCTCAGCACGATCGGATAATGAGAAGAATAGAATTCCCACTGTGGAGTGACTCTTATGTAAAACTCAAACACAACAGTACATAAAAAATGAAAAAATTCAAATTTTTCTGAACGCAGTCATGTCAAAGGTCAATTTGCAAAGAGCGCACATGTAAGATTCCACTTCAGCTCTTGTAACATCTCAACCAGCGCTTCAGAATGCAACAGGATATAAATTTACCAGCTTGTTTCGGATATCTAAGAGAAGAAAATTTGAGGACTAATGATTCATTGCT